GTGTGTGTGTGTGTGTGTGTGTGTGTGTGTGTGTGTGTGTGTGTGTGGACTCCTCACCACGGTGTTGAAACTGAGCTGTTTAGGCAGCATGTTGCTGCAGGACACGCAGTCCGCCTGGCAGTCACTCTGTCCAGGATCACACAGACAGAGCAGCAGCAGAGCCACCACAGTCTTCATGGTCCCACCGTCTGCTGCACAACACAGGACAGAGCAAATGCATATGTTCAGTACGGCAACAATTTCATACAGTCTGCTCGTACAGTTTCCTTTGTGTCGCTGAGTGCGCTGTTTCAGCTTTCACTGAGCACTGCTTTTTAGAGGTTTTCAACACTAAGGAAGTGAGACTAAGGGACAGAAATAGAACACAGCAGACTTGGAGAACAGAAGAAAAAGAGCAAGAGCAAAATAGTTTGACTTTATTCTGGTTGGAACAGCCCCGTCTGGTGAGTCTGACATCAGAAACACAACCAGAGTTTTCATCTCATTAAACAAACTCATTAACTCCTTTAATTGATGACTCAATTAATGCTGCTGGCAATGAACTGAGTCATTGTTTCTTGCTGACAAACATGCACACTCAAACTTACTTGCACAAAACATAAAGACGCACAAACATACACAACTCACAAACACATGAATTCTCACACATGCCTAACGTGTGTATGCCCACTATACAGTACATTGGTAGGCACATTCAAATACCCCCCACACACACACACACTACACTGCTCTTTTAGCAGTAGGTTGTCATTATCTATTAAACTGACGTGGCTGACATTAAAACTAATTTGTCTTCAATCAATCACTATTTCATAATGTCGTAGATATTTGGAATTTATTCAGAGTAATTAAAAACTGATAAAAGCGTACTTCCACTATGTTCATTCCAATCTCTTGCTACCCATAAAACGGCAGCTCTGCAAAATTAATCAAAATTAATCAGCGTTCTAGTGTGCAAACAATAAAAGCGTGTGTCGAGCCTTAAGTCCGATAGGAAAGAGGATGGGTTTGTCAGTGAAGGACAAAAGAGCAGGGCAGTCATTTTAGGCGGGAATATTGGAGGCGAGCTAAGGGCGGCACAAGATTGGCAGATGGCAGTGGATTTAGACAAACAGCTTGGGCGTGTTCATTTGTCCAAAATGCATCTCGTTCTCCAACCTCCTGTCACTGACTTCGTTGATGACTTGGCTTCCAAAAATCAGCTGCCATCATCAAGGATAAAGCATGGAGGAGACTTCCCATCTTCTCATCTCTGTTATCTACTGAGGTGTGGACCGAGGATGCATACACACACAGATGCTGTATCCTTAATGCGGTAATGAGTGAGGACAAGAAAAGTGGAATACATGCTTACCTTCATACTATCAAACCATAAGGTCACATGTAGTCTAACAAGAATAAGAGTCTACGGCCATGCTAGCAGCTCTGCAAGGCTGTACTTGGACATATTTAACAGGTTTACCATGATCATCATCAATGTTACATGTTACCATGTTACACAGGTTGTGACATCACAACCGTAAAGAAATCCTTACGGCTCGTTTAGAGGCACAGTTTCTGAATACTGAGCCTTTCGATACTTTTACATGGTTTAGAATTTAAAAAAAGATATGAAAATCTTACTTTTTAAAATATGGGACCTTGAAGGGATCACCAAAGTTACTAGGATTCTTTATGTGGGAACCATAACTTTGGGCACACAATGTCATGGTAATCTATCCAATACTGAGATGATTCAGTCCGGACCAAAGTGGTGGACAAAAAGCAATATGATTCAAAGCTAACGCTAAGTGAAACATATATGTCTATATGCTCACTGTAAGGGTTCATGCAAAGGCTGGACAATTGTCTTCCCCTGTGAGCAAGGTTGTATCCATAATAATCTTAACTTTGTGAAACATGAATAAACTTGAATCACAGAATATGATTTGACAGCTGTCATTGGAGGTTTATGGAGAAGTCTAAATTCAACTTGAGGGAAACTGCAGTGAACAGTTAACCATTGTGGCCAAGTTCAGTACTGGCAGTTCTCAACCCAATTTTATTCCCACTGAAAACTAATAATTCCAGATTTCCTAACAACTACACACCAACACAGAATGCATACAGCCTGGCTGCACTCACTCACATATTATAGATGCACACGCAGACAGGTACGCACTCCCGAATGTTGTCCTTATCTGTTTTTCTGTCCTCTTGTATGTAAAGTACTCTGTGCTATTTGATGACTGTACAATCACACTGTTTTTCTGACTTTTAAATGTCTGATGAATCAGGTAGCTATGTGCTCCTCTCACAAGGTGTAAATTTGATTGAGGACACGCCTCCCATTGAGCACACCTGTGTCCTAACCCCTGATTAACGCCTGTCCCTCAATACCCAGAAGAAGTCGTAAATCATTACATTATTTTTTTGCATCATGACTACGATTATGCAACTTTATTCCTTTACAATTGTGGTGAGCACCTCTGCGGCGTTCTTCCTCTCTCTCATCCTGCTACTGACGTCTGCCAGGTCCTCTCTCTGGAGCCCTAAAAACCCAATTACTCTGCTTTTAATTAACTGATTAACCGCTAAATAAAACAGTTAATTAAGTCATTACTGTCTGGTGCTGCTCTGAGGCACCGCTGACGGAGGTTTGCAGTCGGTAGGTGATATAATATATATTCAGATGAAAGGAACCCTCATCCATAGAATATCTCTCAGTAGAATCTCCCATCCAGGCTCAACCTGTCACTTGCTGATGTTGTGCCATTTGAGCTGTTTTACTACCTGAAAAAAAATGTCGCACAAGTTGCAATTCAAGGCTACCAAAGGAGCAGCTATGGTATTTTGTAGAACTTAGCTAGTATTTAGACAAACGTAAATTAAATGACACACGACAGCACACGTATGTCACCTTGGAAAGTTTCCATATGTGTGGCTGTATGTGAGTTCAATGAGCTTTGCCTGGTTAAATGGAAAAATTACTCGCAGTGAGACCTCTTCACATTGTTGATTAAAAAGTGTCCTCAACCATGAATAGGTACTGTTAAAATTACAGAAACATTCAAATGTATATTTAAGGCTGATTCATGGCCTTGTCGTCCCGACAGCTCACAACCGCCTGTGTTATCAACCACATCCACCATTATTTTTCTCCATTATTGCCATTTTCTCATCAAGAACAGGAAGTACAAAATAAATTACACTCAGCCTGAAGAGCGACTTAAAGCCGGATTATGCACGCGTGGTTGAGTGGAGGAGCAGTGTGAACCTGTCTTGCAGCTCTTCTTTATTTTCAAAAGCCGGACAGCAAATTTTTACTTAACTTAGATGTAATAACCTCAATATTCACATCAGTACACCGTGTACTTTGGCTGTCTCTTTTCTGAGCATTTGTAGGTGCTTTCTATATAATGTTGGTCCGGTCATGTGGACACACTGTAGTTGTAAACAGCAAAAAAAACAGACATTGGCTTTGTATTAATGCACTTCTGCCTAATTTGTATTCTGTGCTATGGCGTTTGCATGAGACTATAAGGTGTGATCTTGTTAAGACTCAAGTTGAATCTAATTTAAAAGTTCAATGTAGTTCAAACCCAGTCTATATTAATATGCAAATTAAGTTTTCTTTTATTGACCTTTCATGTATAAAAAGCCAGAATGCATCTGAAAAAACGGCGATGAAATAATAACTTATATAATTAGGGATTTAAAGATAACATAAGTACATACACTAAAGTTATTGTACACAACTACATACTGGCCTTGCAGCTTTTCAATTTAAACTGCAGCTTTAAATTGAAAAGCTTTAGATTAAACGGATTAAACGTCCAACCCGTAAAGGAGAGAGAACCAGCATAATGAAAACATACTAGTAGGTGCACTCACTAGAGTGCAGATCTTCATCAGGTGTATCTGCAGAGACCACTGCTGTATTATGTGATTGAATTAATACAAACCACAATTGGCTAACCCCCCGCCTAGACACCAATGACCTGTAAGGCATTGTAAAAACCCACTTCATTTAAACTTGAAAATAAGCGGCGTTGTATGCAGGCAATCGGCTAGAAGCCGTTGCATAATACACTTCATAGAATCTTGCAGAAACAAAATTAAACTCACAAAGCTGTCTGCCCACTTTGGAAATTAGTTTGCAGCCAGGTTACTGCAAGACACACAAAACCCTGATGGACATCAACAATAATACAAGCACAGTACAGTGTGTGTGCACTGGTAGTTCCTTTAGCTGTTAGTGGTTAGCCAAACAATAGAAATGAGCCGCAGAGAAGCGTCCGAGAGGTACTCAGCAGTGTGTGAACTGGTAGTTCAGCTGTTAGCTGTTAGCCAAACACACTGACCGAAAAACACTGTGGCCGCAGAGCTGCTGGCGGTCGGAGATGCACTCTAGTGAGTGAGGAGTCAGCAGGCAGTCAATGGCAGTATAAAACAGGCAATAAAAGGTGTTTGGAGGAAGTGTGAGTCTGCACAACCACGAGAGGTCTTTGTACATGCAGCCATAACTGGCCACCCAAAATATAATGCCGTTGGCTGTAGCAGAATGTGAGATTAGCAGTGGACAGAACCAGAGGCGTACACTCACGGATGCACACACGCAACCGATCGCATGATCCTCCTGGCGGAGATAACAATTAAAGCGTATTCGTGAAGTTGGCTTTGTTGGTTGATGAGTCAGTTTGACAGGTAATTAAATGTTACTTAGTCTTCTGCCTGTAGCCAGATGGCCGACTACTTTAACTGTCAGAAAAGTCACTTTGATTGACAGCCTGTCTCAGGCCCACTCAAGATACATTGTGCTCTTTGTTTTAATATTAATAGCTATCTGGTAAAATGGCAGGGTGGTCATTGATGTGACACATTTCAGGACGGTAGATCTATATTACAAATCAAGTTGATTAAACACATCTAATCTATATATTAATCGTTTCCGTCATGGCCTACCGACTGGTTTATCTGTCAATACCTCCCTCTTGCTCTAACTTTTTGCTTTCTGCCTCTATAAGTCTCGTTCTCGCCCACTCATGCTCTTTCTTTCCCCCTCACTCCATCATGCACGTCTTTCCCTACACATAAAAAAAGCAACAAAAACTACTAATGCCAGTGGCATAAAAGTTCATCAGGGGTTTCACTATTCATGTTACAAAAATGAGGGCCGTTTAACACCAATTATTTAACCTGTTTCTGGATACAAACATCTCCCTTATATTTGAATCAAGATTATCAGTATATTGATCAGATGTATTGTAAGAAAGCCTAAAAGTCTGCCTAGGCAGTGACAGTACTTAACTTTCCTGCTGATCATTATTACTTATAAACATGCTCCTTGTCAGAGGTCATGTCGGCTCACATGTATCTGCAGAGTGGGCGTTTTGACATATCTCCAGCCAGAAGAAACTTTTAGAAGAAACCTTTTACAAGATATTCCCTGTCAGTCAGACTGTGTCTGACGTGGCGGTAGATTACATGCCGAAGCCATTACAGGCAGACACACTAAGCTAAATCAATTTCCCTTCTCAATGCACCTAATCACTTAAGGTCGATTAATAGTTGGGAGGTGTGCTCACACACACTCAAACAATCCCATTCAAACACATTTCATATTGATTTTTCTTGTTTATGTTTTGAGATGAGGTGATGCCCTGTGATTGTAATTTTTCTTTTCCATCCCACCTGCGCAAATTTGACATTTATTTGTTTGTCCTCGGCATTCACCTTATTTGGCAGAATGGGGAAAACAGGAGGACTTCTGTTATTTCAAGATGGATACCTCCACTTCTAGCCTTGTACTCAAATAATTTAAATAAAGCTCAAATCAGCTACGTTTGTGGTTTTTGTAACATTAAACCAGATACAAACTGTATAGCTCCTTTTTATTTACCTGAAACAATCGCATTACTCTTTACAATGTATTTTTTTGGGGCGTAACTATCAGTGATGGTAGCTTTGCAGCCATTTTGAGGTTGGTTGGCGGGTTAGACTTCCTGTAGTTCTTTTCACCAAGCAGGAGACATTGTACCTGTCAGAAATTCCTGATACCTCTGATTCGGAATTAGAACTGGGATAATCCTGGCAACTTGGTTGCTCATATTAGCTTATTAGCTTCATGGCAGTGTCATCATCGCTATATGATGCCTCGCATATCTTGGATACAAACATTCGCTCTCCTGGGTTTAAAATTTCCCAATAAAAGAGAAATCATTCTTTCAGTGTCTTTTGATGGCCACCTTTGGGGAAAGTGCTTTTTGGGCTGCAGGGAATTTTTTTTATTACAGTGTAGCAGTCGGGCAATTGCGAGCAAACATAACCGAATTTCTTAAAGGTGCAGTGTGTAGGATTTTGCAGCATCTAGCGGTGAGGTTGCAGACTGCAACCAGTTGTGTGCGCGTAGGAAATCTACAATTGCCGACTCAAAAATGTGAAAACGTGAAGGGCCCTGTCTAGAGCCAGTGTTTGGTTTGTTCGTTCTGGGCTTCAGAAACATGGCGGACTCTGTGAAGAGGACCTACTTCCTATGTAGATAGAAGCAGCTGATCGTAAGCTAACAAAAACACGCTAAACGCTTAAGGTTAAATGCTAAAGACTGACACGAAAGAAAACATATTTCTTAATATTACATTTCATTTCTGCCAAAAGATCCCACTGAATGCTGCACACTGTTCCTTTATATCCTTGCGTCGAATGTGAAGAGGAAGTATGTGCATTGGAGCTACCTGACACTTACCTCAACTTTCAGTGTGGCCTTGAAATATATGCTTTAACTCCAAAAATACAAAGATTAAAAAATATTTGTCCTCAACAACAACAGAAAATGTATATCTCTGCCGCCACAATTAAAAGGGGTGCAACTGCGTCTGACAAGAGTCAGTTTTCCGTTGATATGAAAACAGGCAGGGAGAAAGAGGAGCACGCTGAGGGCAGCGAGGATGAAGTCCTCCCGGCACAAAAGGACGGACAGGGACCCTGCCGTGTTAGGAACATTGTATCCTTGGATTAACTCCACACTCCCCATTCACACAGCCAGTTCAGTGCAGCCACCAGAGCTGTACACACCCGTACAATGACCTGTGATACCGCCTCCATTTTCCCCATCTAGCCTTCCGGTGAGAATGGCGTCCTGAGGTTTATTTAAGTGTGCCGTGTTGTGGAAGAAACCAGCCTATTCATCAAGGAGGCACGTGGCTGTGGAAATGGGGCTGCAATTCAGTAAAGTGTTTTAATGATTTGTGCAGTCAGTGGGTTTTTTGGGTAAGCTTAAAGTTAATTTACGCTGCCTACTCTCTGGATTTGTCTTTATTTTTGCTTTCAAGTGGACTTTCTTTTTTCTCTCTGCTCATGCAGTGTGTCTCACTTTCTGACTACCAGGTTTTATCAATTCATTCAGATCTATTCCAACCAGCCAATGCAGAAAGGCCAGAACATAATACAAAGCTAATCAGAAAATAAATACATTTCACAGCTTTGATTATCTGCCCTAAGGTATGAGAGCGCAGCCTGTAGTTTTTCCCAAATCATTTGGGAACAGCGTTGTTCCAGCCAGAGAGCCATAGTATCTGCAGATCTGCATCAGCCTCCTTCTGATATGCAGCAAGCTTGTCTTACTTGGATAATTAGAACCAGTTACTTTCATATCCATTATCATCAGTGGTTGTTGAAACAGCATCTTAATTTTAATAGCCCTCCTTAAAGAAACCGAATTTGAACAGCGCCTTTTTTATGTAGTTTCCGTCAAGGTCAAATGAAAAAGTCAGCCCAAGGCTAATCAAACGTTTAAAAAAAAGGTGACACACAATCTTAAAGTTGATTAACTTCATAATCGACTCTTGATAGTTTAAAGAAGAAACACTTAATGATAATGAGTTTTACACATAAATGCCGGAAGGCATGAGAGAAATAATATTAGTACCATTACAGAAATAGAAATGCTGTCATTACCACTAATAATAATAATTCTAATGATGATGAAGTTGAAATAATGAGTTTTTATCATAAAATCATTCCATAATCTTAATACCAATTCATTACAAAGAGGCAATTTATACTGTTGTCTGAAGGTTTTATAATAATGTGATTAAAGATATTTTTCTGAGATGGATTTGGACTCATATAGGGTCACAGGCGTCTGCAGTGGCACTATGGACCTGATGTGAACCAGATGTTTTATGTGGGATCAATACAAAATCCATTTACATTACTGTCTTTAACCTTTAACCGCCCTCCATGTACAGAGGGTCCTGAGAATTTCCATAGTTATTGTCAGCGGAACTTTAGATTTACTCGTAGGTTCCTTTTTACATTGCGACATCAAAATTTTAAATAAAAGAGGAATCATATCTATAGGTACCCATTGCTCTCTATTATTTCAGTTTTTTGGGGGCATAAATTAAACCTTAAGTTATATTTCATGCCTTTAAAAAAACAAAGTATATCAAGCTATTAACTCAGGTCAGGCAAATGCCTTTGAAGACCTGGAAATAACCTTCTAATGAAGTGAGCCAGGGAAGATCTGACCCTGACTAATCAACGTGCACTATACCATTATTCTGTGTCTCAAGCCACAGCATAAAAACAAACATGCAGCAGCTTTCTGATATGACTCCCCTTTCATTCATGAAAGCCAGCCGAGCGCGGCAGTAAATCAGGCCTTAACGATGAATGACTAATGACGACGTACTATTTATGACATTTCCCTCTTGACGAGAGCAACAGCATGTGCAGTACTCAGATGGGGCGCCTGCACCTCGTGCTCCCTGCTGTGTGTGCATCCCTGCTGCTTTATGCTTTTAACCCGCTCAAACACGTAGTATTTATCATCAGGGAGGGTCGTTATTGTCTGTCAACAATAGGAAGACCCTAAATACTTTGATGAGCATCATTACAAGCGCTCAGCCTCAAGGAACGGTCGGGGGGGTCACAGCAGCGCGACAATGGCTGTGACAATTTCCCTGGGACTCTACAGCAGGCGTTGATGATAGACAAAGTGATGGAGACAAACACTGATTGGGAAAAATAAAGTCTAACTGGATGAAAAAAAAAATGTGTCAATTGTCTTTCCTTGAGTCCAATTGTCTCAGTTGAATTTAGATTTAATTAAGAAGGAATTCACATTTGGATTTTAGCCACTTATTGGGCTCTCTAAATCTGCCGTATTAACATAACATAAAATAAAAAGGAACTAAGAAAAAATCCATCTTCACTTTCTCCAATAAGGCTTTTTGTACAGTAAAACAAATCCTGTCTGTCAATCTGTTCACCAATGTAACAAAACGTCTTAGCTTTTACGACAAAGAAGCAAAGTGCAAAATGGTCTGTGTCAAAGGTCAGAGGTCAAGCCAATTATTTTCCCTCTCCGTCTCTCTCCTTCTCCACAGTGTCCCCTTACCTGTGTTGGGGTGAGGTTGTGGGTGCTTGTAGGGGTCCCTCGGGTGCAGGTTGAGGTTCGTCAGCGTATACGTTTCCTTCCCTCGGTCTCAGCGTGGTTTTTCTGTCTATGTGGAGGCTGGAGGCAGCTGCTCTTATAGGGACCCACCCCTCCCCTTCAACCTCCTCCTCTGATTCTTGCTCTCTTTCAAAAACTCCCTCATTCATCGCGGAGAGAATGGGAGGGAGGGCTGATGTACAGAGGGGGGGAGGAGGGAGGAGAAAGAAGAGGGGGAGAGAAAAGAGGAGAGACACATAGGAGTTGGGATGGGAAGAAAAGTAAGTGGCAAGAGGAAGGAGGAGAAAAAGAGAGAGGCAACAGAGATTATGGCAGAAGAAAAAAAAGTAGAAGGGGACAAAAGGCTTGAAAGAGAAGGAGATGGAAGAGGGAGAGAAACGGAAGGGTGATGACGAGGTGGAAAAATGAAAATGTGAGAAGAAAGGAGAAGGGAAGACAACGGAGAAAAGGAAGACATGAAGGAAGGCATCCAGTTATCTGTCAACCTTTAATGGTGGGTGGGGGGGGTTGATGCTTTGCTGCAAGATATATATATTTTTAACTTAAAGACACTTGAGAAATGAAGAAGAAAATATATTTTTCATTTCAAGAGTTTAACTGCTCGACACAAGATGTCTCCTACTTCACTGAAAAGTCCAATTTAAGTGTTGTACTCTGCTCACACATCATTCTGAGCAGCAGCGCAGCTCAAACATCCAACGAAAGTACCAATAAGCAATGAGGGGAAATGGCACAAATGTTTCAGTAAATTCTATTGCATTTTACTGCATTCATATTTTCATTTTGTCAAATTCTCCACAGGAATCATCACAGTTTACCTTTATCTGATCATTGTTCCCTAACTGGGCAAAAACATATGTAGAGTGACTTTTTTTAAATTTATTCTCTCATTGTACTGGCCATTACATACATTTAACATATTCATAGGGTGTGAGATTCTGAACAGTCACAGTCAAGTTTTAACTGTCTGGTTTACACTCCGAAGTCCTAAACTTAAAGGGGCTTAAAGTCGACATCCAGGGCATTGATATAGCAGCATACAACTATTTTGCTATGTAAGGATATAGTGGAGTAATGTCAACCTGAGCGGGGAATGAAGTCGCTCTGCCACTGTGTGTGTTGTAATCCAAGCTTTTCTGTGCTTATTTAGCCTTGCAGTGCGTGTGCCTTTAAGTGCACGTTAGTGCATGTGAGCGTGCCCCACCGGTTGGCTCACGGCCGCCTGCGCCGCACTGCGCTCAGCGGTTACCGCTGATAACGCCGTCCTGGCTGACAGGGTCATCGCAGAAGTGTAGCACTCAACCTGCAGTTCTCCCTCAGGTTAACACTGTTAGCTCCGTCAGCACTGTTGCCAGTGTTTGCACTGTTAGCACCGTCGACATGTTGAGAGAGGTGTGGATCCCTCAATCATAGATATACTCTCAATTTTGTATTGAGCAGAGGTCACTAAGTCCTAATTTTCCCTGAGCAGTGCCTTTAAGCTGATTATTCCTTGTACCTTCATACTACTCAGACTGCATATACAGTTATGACCTTACAAAAAACGAAGAAAATGTATTTATTTGCAGCGTTCCTTAGAGGAGAGGTTGGTAGGACGTCTGGCTGTCACTCCTCCGCCATGTTGTGGGAGTGACAGTCAGATGTCCTCCAACCTCTCTTCAGGCAGTGGCAGGACTGTATTACTGTCAATTCTGCTCACAAACAAAAATCAGCGCTGGAGACAAAAGAACCACGAGGAGCGTGAGTTGCAGAGTTTCTTATTATGCGTCTGTCTGGCCCTCATTATCGGGAGGATGCGCTCTGTTTCTCCACGATTAGGGTTACTTTATTCTGGCCATGCATTACAATGCAGGATTAAACTCTATCGGGTTTTTGTCAAGCGGTCATTCCTCATGAGGATTCATGTCAACCTGGTGGGTTAGTTTACTATTTCTGGAGTATTTCCTGTCTCAGGTTGTGTGCGTCATGTTTGGTTTCCTTAAGTCAACAGAGGTTTTGCGTGATGAGAAAACTGCAGGAGGCTCTGCATCTTCAGTCTACACGCACATACACACAACAAACAAGCTCTGCTTTTCTGACAGACAGGCCAGCGGACATTTCTTATTCTTAAAGACTAAGTTTGACATTCTGGACAGTATGCTCGTTCATTTTTATTTGAAGAGTTCGGCCAGCAGATTAATACGACTCTTGTGTCTGTCAGTTAAATTTGAAGCTGGAGCCAGGACATGGTTAGCTTAGCTTAGCACAAGGACTGCCCAGGGTAGAGGGGCGCTGGCAAATGGCAGACCAGGCTGGAAGAGGGTGAGGTGGAAGCAGGCAGGCGGATGATCCTTAGGCGCAGGGGGAAGAGAACAGTTACTGTCACGACATGAGGAAACGCACGTCCCCGAAAACACAAAACTACAGAGGCCTGAAGCGAGTCACTGAGTCAATGATCTGGCTCTGGATGTGTGAAGAGCTGGGGTTGAAATACTGCAAAACTGATGAACTGATGAGCGGCAGGTGAGCAGACTGGAAGAGATGACGAGTTGATAGATGGCAGGTGTGCGTAGAACCGAGAGCAGACAGGAGGGTCCGGAAACACAAGAAACACTACATCTGCAGGGGCACGGCCGTGACAGAGAGCCAGCCGCACCCAGCATGTCGTTTGCCAGAGTAACAGTTAATACTGTAGCGAGCGACAGAGAGCGAGTCGCACCCAGCATGCCGTTCGCCGGTGTAACAGTTAATCGGGATCTCCTCTCAATGCACTACACAGTGGGTACAGAATGCATCACTATTGAATATGACAGACAGAGACCCCTTCTAGTTAGATTAAGAGCATCTTATAAATGATGAGTCACTGCTTAGCCTCATCCCTGTGACGTCATCAAAAAATGTTTCCTTAACCGGCAAACTGTTGCTCGGACCGACTGGCTGTTGCGGCAATTAAGACAGCCCTCTGGAGTTCAATAGGCTATTATTGTGTTTGTCTCTTCTAGTCCGCGGCTCATTAGTAGATAGGCATCGCAGCAGAGACAGCAGCTTGGTCAAGTAATCCAAAAAGACTGTCCCATAATCAAGACGTCACGGGTTTCAGTGCCCACCCGTCTCACATCTCCGTCCATCCCCACCATTCACGCCACGTGTCATATCATGATCTGCCTCGAGGTACTTCACAAACATTGATTAAATCTCAGAAGCATTGAAATTTTCTCACCATTTATTCGCTGAAGGGAAAATAAATGGTTCGTGCAGAGCAGCCTTATGACTTTTGATCGCCTGCAGTTCACTGTGGTTTAAGGACATGACTTCACTGTGAAGACAATGCTTTTTACCGCCTCGTCAGTTGGACTCAATTAATCTTCCCGAGCTGGTTGTGGTTTACACTCATGGGCGGCGGTGGTGTAGCTTGGGTGTCAGAAATGGGCTGGAAAGAATTATTTGATAGATTCAACTCGGCTCAGAACAAATATGGGCTGAACTCACACACCAATCAAATTAACGGAGAGCAGAGACAGATTGATCAGATGCATATCTCCCTCAGCTCAAAGTTGCACTCTCCTCCATCTTCAGAGACCAGACAGGAGGAAATAAACCCCCAGACAATCACCCACACGGTAATGATGGTCTGCAATGCTGACTTATTTGCCTTGCCTCATCGAGTGCCCACCCACATTCTGGTGTTTTGGCAGTCTAACAAAGAGACACAAAACGCTAAATGAGCAATTAGGTTTGTATTGTGGACCCGACCGCAGCTAGTTGGTTCACTAATTGAGCCAAACAGCACCGAGGAGAAATGTTGACTTTCCACGTGGGACCATCTGTAAGCAGTGTGACACAATAAAGACATTTAAAGAAGTGTAGAGTGTAACGTGTGAAACCCAAAAGGGAGTAACTGAGACGAGGACTGAGATATGGTGAGAGACATCGCTTTGTCCGATCTCGTGTGTCTGATCCATGAAGCAGATTTTCCTCCACCAAATGAATCAATGTCATTAATTAAACACTCGTTAAGACTTTTCCTGCGGGAAATGGCTGATGGCTAAACAGTAAATTAGACAGAACCATAAAAGGATGCTAATTTTAGCCGGCTTCAAAACAGCCAGAAGCAAGAAAACAATATTATTTCAAGATACGCCAAAGTGATGTCGTGCTGTTTTTTAGTTGAAACTTAAGGGGAGAAACTGCAGGTGAATAAGGTGAAAATAAATAATAATAACTAATAGATATTGCCACAGGGCTTCCCCACTTGATTACTTACATTAAGACAATTTATTTTTGTATTAAAAGTGTTCTGAAAATATAATATATTAAATATGCAAATTAGGCATTATTTTATCACAAAGGTGCAAATTTGCATACATTTTCAGAATATAAATCTAAACATTGGATTCAGCAGGTTAAAAATAATTGTGTCATTTTGTTGACACAGAGTCAAAGGTTTTTACAGAGGACATTTTGAAAAAAGAAAATCAACTGTCACCATATTTTCAGGAATAAAATGTTGTATATTATAATATTGTACATTATAATACCATTGTACACAAGCCGCTGCTTGTGTTGCTGCTTCACTTTCATCACCATGAAATCGCCACGCTCCAGTAAGGGGCTTAGAGGCCTTGCTCAAGGTCACCTCAGTGGTAAATCTAACCTTTAGACCACCACTACATCCATACATGTATTCATGCTCAATTATGTCACTGCCATGAGAGTGCTGCTAATGAGAGTGCAACCTTAATCAACCAGAGGATTCATCTGTAGATTTTTAGTTGTGCTTCGAAAAGATTTTGTGTGATGCATTCAGTTCTGAATTTATATAATTACTGCCCCAATGTCAAGTTCACAGTACTCTTTTGATGCAACTGATTAGCTAAAATGGTTCATTAATAGTAATATCTTTAAGTACATGTAATGTTCAATAATACAAGTTCACTTTAGTTTTCTAAACTTAAATATAATATTTCTATTTTCTAGTATTTTGTATTTCTTATTCTCAAGAGTCACAAAGTGGATATAGTCATCCAAGTCCACGATTGTAAAAAAAAATATCTAATTTACAGAACACAAAACAAATATTTCAA